ATTCTCTCTCCCAACTTCAATCTCTTTTTTCTTTTTATTCTCCAATTCTTTACCATTTCTCAACCTGACTGCTTTAACTTCTTCATTATTTTTATCTTTAGGATTAACTTCAGTGTTACTAGGAAGTGTTCCCTCAGGCCTATTGCTAATTGACTTAGTCATTTGTCCCTGTTGATTCTCAATGTTTTGTACTGCAACATTTAGACATTGTAATTGATTCCCCATCTGTAACACCACTTCTTCTAAAGACAACTTCTTTTCCTTCATTTGTTGGTTATTGGTAAAGCCAAGAGGATAAGAATGTCTATAGTTAGTATTACTCTGGTTGTTCCAGTTTCCCAATGAGTTTGTTTTATATATCCCCCATTGCTGATTTCTACCACCATAATTATTATTCCACTTAAAGTTAGGATGGTTTTTCCAACATGAATTATAATAGTTAGAATATGGGTTGTTGGGTCTATTATTAATTGCATTTAAAGTTTCAAATGATGCTTGAGAATCAATCAATTATCCCAATAATTTTTTTTCAATTACACAAGGTGTTTGAGAAAAGTTCATTCCAAATTGGTCTAACTTCCTATATATCACAGCAATTTGAGATGCTACAATTGAAATTGCATCATTATTACGAAAACTGACTACCCTTTAGGAATCACCCTTTTAGAGGGCCATTGAAAATTGTCAGTATCCATCTCTTAAATTAATGCATATGTTTCATCAAATGATTTTGACATTAATGATCTGCCAACAATAACGTCAAAAATAAATCACAAGGATCCGACTAACCCATTATAAAATGTTTGAATAATTAACCAGTCTAGCAAAATATGATGTGGACACTTTCTAAGGAGTTCTTTTAATCATTTCCAAGCTTCGTATATTGAATCACCTTCAAACTGAGTAAAAGAGGTAATATCATTTCTAAGCTTAACAGTTTTTAATGGTAGAAAACACTTATTTGGGAATTTTTGTGCTAACTTTCCCAAAATTCTAATAGATTCAGATGCTAAAGTGTTTAACTTTATCCCTTAGGGAAAAAGAAAAAGTCTAAGTCGATCAACATCATTTGATATGCCATCAAACTTAAATGTAGCACACAATTCTAAGAAACTTGCAAGGTGTAAGTTTGGATCCTTGATGTTGTTCCCCCAAACTGATTTTTTTGTATCATTTGGATTATAGCAGATTTAAGTTCAAATAAGTTAGCCGCTACAACAGAAGTTTGTATGCTTAAATAAATTTCATTTGTTGTAAGGTTTGAGTAGTCCCTTAAAGGTCTTCGTATATGATGTTACTCATTTTCAGTAGTTTGAATATCAATGTTATTTTGTGATGTCTGTCATTTCTTGAAAATTGGGAAGTTTTTTTTTTGTTTTCGGATTTTTGTTATTATTCGTTCTAACTCAGAATCGTAAGGCACTAAGCCTTCACATCCTGAACTACCCATGCAAAAGGTGAAAATTCAGAAAATAAAAATACTCAAAAATATAAAATTTTAATTTTCGGTTTTTATGATTTTTTCAGTTTTTTTCAGATCTTTGAAAAAATATATTTTTATATTTTAATAAATAAACAAGTACTTACAAAGAAAAATTAAAATACCATTCTCCTAAAATAAATCTACAGTTCAGATAAAATTATTAAGTTAAAAATTATGTTATTATCCCCGGCAACGACGCCAAAAATTTGATCGGCCTCACAATTATGCAGTTAATTAAGTTCCAAGAGATGGCCAAAAACTTGACCCAATTTATATTTAGCGGCTAGTGTGCAAAATAATTATGTTATAGAATTTAGAATTTGATTAATGGTTTACACACTAGGGGTTCTACACAAGTATACGTATCATTTCAAGTAATAAAGAGTTTTCTTTAAAAACCATATTATCGAATTCACAGTGAAAGACAAATTTTCTATAACTTAGAAAAACCTTTACTTAAACTAAAAATAAAATGTTTAAGAATATAATGTCGAAATGTTTGTAAATGGTTAAAACTAAATATTTGCAAATTTTAATTTTAACCAGAAAGTAAATGAGGTTCTCTAAACTAATTATGTTTAAAGGAGTTTGAATAATATAAAAAGATTTTTCTCCTTTGCAAAGAGATCATAATTAGTGCAGGAATCAAATGTTTAAAGTTAAAATGTTGAATTGTGACAAATAAGAGCATATCTATTATTTACCCTCTCCCGAGTGCATAAAGAACATTGACTAATCTAAAATTTATTCCTTAAATCATTGGTTATGCTGGATAGATTATAGCCCTCACCTCTAGATTACCCACTGTGTCTTCTCAATAGGACTAACATCTAGCCTTAAATTCCAAAATTCAAGACAAAATTGGTAGAGATTCTAGTCTGTCACCCTAGAATCACCAATTCTACGCCTATCAAAACTCATCTCCCTATCAATTTGCACTCACCTTAGAACTTAGTTCCCCTCATCCTAAGGTTAGTGTGACATTCACTAGTTGGGGTAAATCATAGCTCTCCCGGATCATTACGTTTCGCAACAGATTTTAACATTACAAATGACCAGTTTGCAAAAAAAATTAAAAGCATGTTAAAATTTCATCACAATTTTGGAATAAACAAAATCTTCAAACCATTCTAATCCTACACATGATTACTTCTTGTTGCAAGGAGAAAGATAAAGAAAACTACTAATAATTCATCGGGATAACACAACAAAACATGATATATTTTGAAAGCCAAGTTTATACAAGAAAACAAAACTTAAAACAAATACATAAGATACTTATCTTAGACTTCTCCCCAAGCAAATCCTTTGGAGTTTCTTTGTTGTCTTCTTCCTCCAATAAACACAGTAAACAATACTTTGACTCACACACAACTCACACCAAGACTAGGCTCTAAAATCTCTTTAGATACCACCCTCTCACACACAACAACAACAACCAACAACAAGCTTAGGCCCCCAATGGCTCTATTAAGTAGAACTCTTAAAATCACCAAGAGTCACTTCAGGCACCTCTTTAAAATTCGTTCAAATTTAATGAAAAATGACACAATATTTTCTAGTGCCTAGGCACTAACCTTCTAGAAGCCCATCGTTACTACCTGACACCTAAGTGCTAGATCGTGGCGCCTTGGCGTCAGGTTCATTTTTGCTTATTTGCTACATTTGCTCTATTTGACCCCGATCTTGTTCTATTTTGCTCATTTGTTCTTAAACTTCATTTCTTCTACCTGAATCAACAGGTAAATTTAGATCGTTTAACTCTCTGACGTTTGCTACATTTGCTCCATTTGACCCCGATCTTGTTCTATTTTGCTCATTTTGTTCTTAAACTTCATTTCTTCTACCTGAATCAAAAATACACAAAATGTCGTTCATTAAAGTGCAATATCCTTAAAAAGTAGCATGCAATGTATATATAAAAGTAGGTAATTTTAATGCATGTCAATTTCATATCTTAACTGTACTCCTTTTACTGTTGTTAGCACGATCTATGTTCACCGTACTTTTTAGAATGTTGAATCTGAATCTATCATGTGAATTACACTTGATGAATAAATAACTCAACATGACAGAGAAAGCGAGAGAGAGGAAGGGAGACAACGAGAGACAGAAGAGGGAGTGCACAGTAATGAACAATAGAATGAGAGAGTTGTGTAACCTTTTATAAATCAAATAACTCTATTTATAGACAATGAGGGTGTAATAGGTGAAGTTACATTTATGTCCCTACTCAAGTGAAGATTGTACATGTCATTCTAGGCATTTTACTCCTTTGAGTCCAAGGGCTTTTGCTCTCGGGCTTGACTGACTGAACTTGGTAAAGCTTCATCGAGCTTTGTCATTCAACTGGGTTTGATTGGCTTTTGTCGATCAATTGTTCTGTTGAAGTCCCGATGGGTCTATTGTAGGAAAACAAGCGGCTCAATTTTTGTTGTTGAAAGGCTAGGGTCTGTAAAAGCTACTGGTCAGCTTACAATCTATCGTTCGTGAGTTGATAAAACTGATCGACTAAGTCTTATCAATTGATATAATGATTATTGACCATTGAATCTAATCAAATAATTTTTATTGAGAAAGCGAAGCTAAGTTGTTGCGCAGAGGGTTGATTACCATAATCTGAAAGATAACCTTAGACAGATATCATGGGTGAAGGTTGTTGATCGTCCCTGATGTGGGAATAAGAACTGAGTCAGTCTTAATTGCATGAAAGTGTTAGTTTCAAATGAATGTTTCTATTGTAACTGGATGAGCTGCTTTTCTCGTGCCACATACTCTTCCTTATAACATTGATTTTGAGACCCATTCATCTAATTGAGTTTTTAGGTTTTTTGTCCATCGGTCTGCCCTTCGATATTTGTTCTCCCCTAAATTGTTGAATCTTCTCAAGATACATAGGGGCATAATTTCTATGTACAACCACTGTAATTATTAGATCATGATTTTAAATCTCCTTGCCTTCCTCTAACTTCACCCTTTTAATAGGTAAATTTTTAAAAAAGAACACTTGCTCCTTTTCCATTAATCACTACAGCTTATTTTCCTTCCGCCGTTTAAGAATGCTGCAAAACCGTTCTCGGTTGTCTTCAATCATCTTTGCAGGAGCATCGAACCTTTGAACTTGAATTTAAGAAGCCGACTTCTACAAAGTGGGTTTGATGCGATTCAATCGTCAAATACTTTTTTGCCCATAACTTTAGGCTATTATATCCATTCAAATCAATATTATTATCAACATAACAATTCATCAAGATCATAAATTTTCTAACTATTTATTTTTAATAGACCATTATTTTTTCCTTCTCTCTTTTTTCAAAAATGGTTTTCTAAAGACAAACAAAATGTATACACAGATATCCCAAAGAACAGTTCAAGCCAAGGCAGCCTATACCATAAGGTTAATCCTTCAGAATTCCTTGCCATATTTTATTTCAAAATGGCTACGTTTCGGTATGAAAAATCATAAATTAAGCATGCCTAACAAAATAGAAGAATAATAAGTTAAAAAAGAGGGGGGGGGGGGGGGATCCTCCCAATGTACAAAAGAAGAAGAATATGCAAATAATTACTGCATCACCACAACAAATTTTGCTGCTTCAATAGCGGTTCTTACAAACAGATGGCCTTTGACGTCTAATCGCAAATGCAGCCATCTGGAAAAGCCCGGAGCATTCTCAATCTCCCTGCACAATAAAAGAAAAAAACATTTTCAAATAAAATATGAGAAAATATTTCAATATTTAAGAAGATAAAACAGAGACCAGATATCTCAATGGTTTTCCCATGAGCCATAAAAATTAAATTATGTTGAATCTTTTCATGAACATCTCAATGGTTTTCCCATGAGCTATAAAAATTAAATTATGTTGAATCTTTTCATGAACAAAATGACAATATATCTCAATGTGTTTAGTTCATTAATAGAGGACATTAAGAAAATATGAATTGCAACTTCGTTATCACAACGTAGCTTTGCCAGAACTGTCATGTTAAAACTCATCTCGGTCAAGAGTTGAGAGACCCACATCAATTTACTTGAAGCTTGTGTCATCACTCGATATTCAGATTCAAAGTGGATAGTGACACTACATTCTGTTTCACTATTTAATGAAGTGATATTACCCAAAACAAAGACGCAATATCCAGTAATGATTCTTCGATTAATCTTGAAACTTGCCCAATCTGCATCAGTGATATTACTAAAAACAAAGACGCAATATCCAATAATGAATCTTCGATTAATCTTGAAACTTGCCCAATCTGCATCAGGGAAACATTCAATATGTTTATGTCCATGATCCTAATATTTGTTCAAAAGCTGACCAACGATGGATTATAGGGAAAAATTGAATACACAATGCCAAAATGAGTTACTGTGAGAGTTTAATTGTCCCACTAACTTCATATACCATTCAGGATCATTAGAATGCTCTACATCCTTTATAAGTTGCTAATTAGGAAACATCAATGTACTGCAAGGTTTGCCCCTTGATTTCCCTGTTTTTGCTAACAAATTCAAACATGCTTCCATTGCTGTAAAAATATATGCTTCTTGCTCCTTTACAACTCAATCCCTAAAAAATGATGTACTGCAAGGTTTGCCCCTTGATTTCCCTGTTATTGCTAACAAATCCAAACATGCTTCCATCGCTATAAAAATATACGCTTCTTGCTCCTTTACAACTCAATCCCTAAAAAATACTTCAAGGAACCCAAATCATTAGTGCGGAAGTGATTTTGAAGAAATAATTTCAATGATAATATCCCTTGCACTTCGTTTCCAATAAATAATAATATCATCAATATAAACCACCAATAGAATGATTCCCAAAGTAGATTGCTTATATGACACCATGTGATTACTTCAAGGAACCCAAATCACTAGTGCAGAAGTGATTTTGAAGAAATAATTTCAATGATAATATTTCCTTTACATCATTCCAGTAAATAATAATATCATCAATATAAACCACAAATGGAATGATTCCCAAAGTAGACTGCTTATAGGATATAGTGTGTTTGCTTCTACTTTTCTGCATCTCAAAACCACCTACTGTTTGGCTAAATTTTTCAAACCATGCTCGAGGGCTTTATTTCAATCCATATAAGGAATTCCGAAGACATATACTTTCCCAGACTCTCATGAGTAACAAACCAGAAGGTTTCTTCATCTATACATCTTCTAAAAAATCACCATGCAAAAAAACACTCTTTACATCTAGCTATTGCAAGAGTCAATTATTCATTGCGACCAAGGACAAAAGTAAGCGAATTGAAGTAAACTTAGCTATCGAAGAAAATGTGTCCAAGTAGTCGATCAAGCAAAGCCCTTAACAACAAATCAAGTTTTGAGACAAGCTACAAATCCATCAAAATGAAACTTAACTGTAAGGACTCGCATACAACTAGTTCCCAAGTTCCATTTTCTGCTGAGGCATTCATTCACCTTATCAAGCATCGCCACCTGCCAACCAGAATAGATCAGGGCTAGCTAAATAGACCTTGAAACATCAAAGGAGTTGAGAGACACAACAAACGATCAAGAAATGAAATATAATTGATTATAGGTAACACGAGGAAATGAGATAGGCAGCTGAACAATTGTGACTAGGCTGGGATGAAAGCTGAGGAGGGGGACAACAATGCTAGATTGTAGGGACAGGGTAGTTAAAGGCTGAGGTCACGTCTAGGACGCTGGACAACAAGAGAAAGTCGTTGGAGAAAGGCTGGCTATGTGCGGGGATAAAGGATGGGAAGATCAACGGCTGGTGTAGCGGGGGAGGGGGGGATTTGGAGTAGGGATAGTAAGAAGAAAGATATAATACCAACTCGGAGTAACATGCAGCCAGAGCACCAACACCTCCAAAGATGATACAATCCTACAAGAGGGAAAAGGACTCAATATAAAAAATATGAAAACAAACACAACAAAAACTAAAGAAAACTCTAAGCAAAACACCACCTAATTATACTTTGGACTAGGAGATATTTTAGGCATTATTCAAAATAAGAAAGAAGAATAAAAATAATAAGAATTAAGATTAGAACAATAAACTAATATGATTTCAGGTTAGGCAATGATAAGTAAAATAAATCATAATTTAGAATTGGTGAGGACTTATAATAAGAAATTACTATGAAGGAAAGAGGGAGAAATGTTGGGTCGGCAGCCTTTCCCCTTGAGGATAGGCCAATCGAGCAAAAAGCCAGATCGTACTCTCCAGGCTAGTCTTCCATAGTCCTCGTTCGACCTCATTGGTAGAAGCTTTCGGTTCTCTGTCTGTAATCTCATCAACACCGAGATCCCACCGGCAACTGCAACGCCCTCTAAGGCACCTGAGGGAATTCCCTAGCTCGCGAGAAAATTTCCAAATTGATCTATCCTCCCAAGACTATGAACCATGCCTATATTGTTGAATCTTCCCAAAATAACCCACGATTGGTTCAATCTGGCATGTAGTGAGAGAAATTTGATCAGTCCTACACGGTCATGACATCGATCGAGTGTCTCAGTCCTGTCATACCCTCAGCCGTCACTGTCCTATATCTGAAGAGAGAGTCTTAGTCCTCTCGTCTGGTGACATTACTATGTCCCATTGATGCCACTCTGATGGTAAGGGCTCCTGTAATATCAGACTCCGCTGAGGGAAGTAGGATGATGTGCTTCTCATTCTTGGTGAACGAATACGTCCCTGAATCCATTGTGCTTAATCCTCCAGTCAAACTGCCACAGGCGTCCCAACAGAAGGTGGCAGGTATTCATAAGGACCACATCACTCCACACCTGGTCATGTAATTGGCTTCCTATCGAGAACTCTACCAAGCACCTCTAGTCGATAATGACCTAATTCTCCTTCTTCAGCCACGTCAGTAAGTACAGTTGGGAATGCCTCTGCGTCGTAAGTCCCAATTTATCTACCATTTGAGTCGATGTCGCGTTCTTGCTACTCCTGCCGTTGATGATAAGGCTGCATACATTTTCGTTCACTGTGCAACGGATGTAGAAAATGTTACAGTGAAGCCACTGTAGATTACTCGTCAAACTACGAGTGCCTCTACTTCAACTGGGGGAAAATGTTGTATCTCACTCTAGTCCCCAGTAGTGCCCCCCCCGCTAACCTCTTCCACGACACCCTAATCTGTGAGTGTGACTACTTTGTCCGTGTGTAGCTAGAGGCTCTGTGGTCGTAGACATTTCCTGGTCGCTACAGCGTTGGAAGAACTATTTTTCTCTTGCTTCTTCCCGCTCTGACCTGGACTGTCACTCTCTTGCCCAACCCTGCATATGTCTCCCATGGTACCCACGTCGGTCGTGGTAATTGTGCTTGTCTGCCTGATGGATGACTGTTGTCAGCTCTGCTTTTGTTGTCTTTCCATCTTCAAGGCTAATGTTTGGACATCCCCCAGGGTCCACAATTGTTGTAGTTGCACCATATTGATAATACTAGGCTTCAGGCCCCAAAAATATATAGCTACTGTATTCTCCTACGGCTTCGTCAGATCACACTTCATTTGCAAATGATCATACTTCTTTGTGAATTCTTCTACTGTCAAATACCTCTGCCGCAAGTGATGGAGCCTGAGAAACATACATGGCAATAATGGGGTGGGAGATATTTCCTTTGCATTGATCTATTCATCTTCTCTAATCTAGTAATCATATCACTGCACTCTCTTTTTCTCTGCCTCTGTCAGTTCTCCCACCATAGAGAAGTACTCTTCTTCAGCTTGATAGCCGCTAATTTGAACCGCCTATTCTCTGGCACATCTTTATACTTGAGAAGATCCACTAATCAATGAATTTCTCAGGATTCGTACCCCCTTTAAACTCTAACAGATCTACCTAGATGCTGAAGTCTATGTCCTTCAAATGATATTTCCTCTCTAGGCCTTCTCTGATATTGGATTCCAAAACGAGGTGCCTATCTTCTTCGTCGCTATAGTTATTTCTATTGGAAGGGATTCAGATCCTCATCCTTCTCGCCTCTTCGCCTCTTCTCCTCTCCAGATCTCGGTCGAAGGTAACTTCTTGTGTTAATTCTTCAATCTCTGCAAGTTTTCATTGAAGGCGGCTGAGTTCCTACCTTATCTCTTCCAATATAGGCTCGAGCATATATTTGCAGGGTGGCATGGCTAGGAATTAAGGAATAGGATAGAAAAAATTTGGTGCGGTTAGGGTTTGGGTTGTGGAAAAAATATTTGATAGTAGGAAAGAAAGTATTTGGTTTATGGTAGATGCAAGGAAACCCTGGGATAAAACTAGGGTTAGCCTAGCACCGATACCAAATAATACTGGACCAAGTAGGAAAAACAACAAAAATACACAAAGCAAACTTTTATTAATAGGAAAATAGGATTACAACACAACACAACATAAATAAACAACACAATACATGAAAGACATTAGCAATCACCTCAAAGGTGTATTCCCTAGGCGATGGAGGTTGGCTAGGTGGGTCGAGATGGTTGGCAGGGGTGTTAGCAACAAAGAAATAATGGTGGCAGCAAAGAGAAGTTGCAAAACTATAGGGACATCAAAGATGGGTGGTTGGGCAGCAGGTTTCGCTACAAAATAGCTATGACCGGGGCTGGGATGAAGGCCAAGAAGGGGGACAACAATGCTGGACTGTAGGGAATGGGCAGTTGAAGCTAGGGTGACATCCGGGGACCTGGACAACAAGAG